TAGTGTAGTATATATATATATATATATATATATATATATATATATATATGTATATATACAGTTGCGTGTGTGCGTGTTAAGCGCGTTCGCGTTATCCTCGTTGAATGAATAATTGATCGTGGCACTTGACTTGTTAAGCACACAGATCTTAGGAAAAAGGGAGGGATAAAGTCAATATACGAACAAGATGATATCCTTGTAGTAAGACGGTCCTTTTAAAGGGACGAACGTAAGATAAACGTCTCATTGATGACAACATAGAGGGAATGCCCGAAATAAATCACACAGAGAACCAATTAATGAACGCGCCCCGCTGTCATGATGAAGCAGCGAAAACGCGGTTAGGATTACTAAGTATTTAAAATATAGGTTAATGTAATTTTCATTACCCACAGTTACGGTATACTTATTCGCGGTTTCCATAGTGTCCATATTCCAGTGCATTCCTTCAGCAATACCTTACCACAACCATTATCGTCCTCTAAGACCTCTAACTGATCCTTCATACGGTCACCACCAAAGAAAAACCGACACATATGAACCGCCTCCTCCATTGTTTCGAACGTGTAGTCTGTGCGCACCCAACGTCGCTGGAAGCCGAATTTCGCCTCGAGGTGCTCCCCAAGGACGCTGTGCCGGGTCGGGGTCGTTGCCCCGTTGCCGAGCGTCTCAATGATCACCACCGCGGCGTCCGCGTCGGTGGGGTCGAGAAGCCGAATCCACTCCCCAACGACCGCGTCTACCGCGGCACACCAGCTCCCCCCAGTCCACTCCCGCCGCACCAAATACGACAGCGCCCACGCACACACGATGAGGTGACACGGGGTGTGACCTTGGCCCAGGCCCGGGCCCGCCCCATTGTGGGACAGAAACCCATCCTGCACGGCCTGGAAGGGACAAGGCCGGGAGACCAGCCGCAGGACACGCCCACGGCGTCCACCGGCGGCCCCGCCCTCCAGTTCCCTTTCCCCATCGTGTTTCCTGTCCCGATCGGCCGGGGTCAGGACCACCCGCTCCTCCGTGTCAAGACGAGCCGTTGGGAGGAGGTGGACCTCGTCGTGGTGCCCACACGCCGCGGCGGTCCGCACCGTGTTCAGCAGACACCGCCGCAGCATGGCGGGCTCCTGGTCGTACGTGAAAAGGCAACGTAGGGCGGGGTGGTGGACGAGCATCGCGGCGATGCGACCGGTCCCGCAGCCGAAATCGGCCGCCCGCAGCGCGAACCCGGGGGCCGACAACGTCGGAGGTGGGCTCGAGGGAAGGGGGGACAGTTGGGGAAAGGATACACCAGCAGTGATAGGATGCATTTCGGGTTGCGGCTGGGGGGAATGGAAGGCCTCTTTCGAACTTGCCGAGTTCACAATCCTATCCAGGACTGTATCTATGAGGTAGGAATGGATAGCGGAGCAGTCATGCCGAAGCATAAAGACATCATAGGCGTGTGGGAAACGTTTGTACATCTCTAGAGTGCCCACCTTGTAGGATGGAACAGCCTTCAAAACTTCCAACACTTCTCTTTTCGTGGGCTCTGCGGGGTGTGTTGCTTGTGAATCAAGTGATGTCTTTTTATAGACTTCGTAGCTCGACATCGCATTACCGGTATGCCGGCATGAATTTTCTTCCCAAACCTTTAAAATTTCACGACGAAGGTCGTCAGTCAAGAGATTCAGAGAAGACGGGATCGCCACATATTTTCCAGTTTCTTTATTCAGCTTCGTTTCAACGTTCTTTTTCCATTTCAACTCACAATCGGTTCGAGAACGCTTCTTGCTGAGGCTGGAGGACCCTTTGCCAGACATGGAGATTGTGGGTGGTACGAACTATTCTCTTTTTGAAGCCTAAATTTTATTCACATGACTTCTCCACGTATCTCTGTGTGATTGTTGTGAAAAAAGCAATTTGAAGAAAAGGAGGAGTGTTACAATACAATCGTGGCTAACGCATTCAATAAAGCGGCTATTTTCAAGCAATTTGTTAAGCTAGTATGCGCTGATACAAGACTCTGCTGTGCGCTTCATTGATTAACTGTTCTATCCTGTCTCCATAGTGCAGAGATGCAGGGAGAGAGAAATACCAAATGTAAACTTTTCTATGGATGCGTTTACCGCACTCTATAAATGAGTGTTCGCTGCTTGCGCCACTCTAGTTCATCTCGCTTCGTCATGGCGTACAACGCCCGGTCTACCATTTTAGTTTCAAACCCCATACGAACCATCTCAGAGATAAGTCGGTTATACTCAACGGTGGCCCCAAGTGTCAGACGGCGCCGAAGCGCCTCTTCAATTCGCAAAATAATTTGACTTTGTGCTTCTGTCAGAGTTTGATCGGCCGCACGGCTTTGAATTGCATCTACTGTAGAGAATTTGAAGAGACGTATAGCTTCCTCGGCATCCATACGTGTTGCAAGCACATCCAAGCGCATTTTTGCCAAAGATTCTGTGATGCGCACGAGACTCTCGAGTTGACGGGCAGTGATTTGTATGATGGGCATTTGCGACTTACTTCCACCAAACCCGCCACCCCCCTTGCTATACTGATTTGCATTCGCACCACCCTCTCCACCAGAAGGTGAAGATGAGGAAAGCGTCTCGAGGGTCTGCTGATGCACATCGCGGCGAACCTGGACGTAAAAGTCCAAAAGCACGGTCATGGCATCCTCCGAGATGATCGGGTGGCATGTCGCCCGTGCGTAGGAGATATACTTAGTGAAGAACAGCCGATCCACGGTACCGTTCTGGGTGATGCTACTTACGGTCTTCGCGGTTTCGTTCTCCAAACTACCCGCGGCGCCTAACCCGATCCCGTTGTCAGCCTCGCCATCGGTGTGGCCGCGTCGGGCCGTTTTATGCAGATTCACCACGTGATGCGCGAGACGACTATCAACTTCGGGGTTATGCGGGTCGATAATCTTGAAAATCAGATCAAAACGCGACAAAATGGAGCTCTGAAAGTCCATCTGATCCTCATTGGAGAGAAGTGGATCATAGCTGCCTAATGTCGGGTTCGCCGCGGCCAGAACCGACGTGCGGCTGTTCAGCATCGTCGTCAGGTTAGCCTTCGCGATCGAAATGGTCTGCTGCTCCATCGCCTCGTGAATGGCGACCTGATCCTGATCACGCATCTTGTCAAACTCGTCGATGCAGACGACGCCGCCATCCGCGAGAACCATCGACCCCGCCTCCAGCACGAAATCGCCGTTGCCACTCGAAACCACCGACGCGGTCAAACCCGCCGCACTGCTGCCTTTGCCGGAGGTGTAAATCCCTATCGGGGCGACCTTTTCGGTGTACTTCAGCAGCTGCGACTTCGCGGTGGAGGGATCCCCGATAAAAAGCACGTTCATATCCCCACGGAGGTAGTTATTCCCCTGTCGTTTCCGGGTTCCACTAAAAAGCAAACAGACGATTGCCTTCTTCTGATCCTGCAGACCGAAGATCGCGGGGTCGATGCTGCGGGCGAGCTTTTCATACACGTTGCCGCTCTTCGCAAAGGCCTTAAACAACGCCTCTTCCTCCGGCTGCCACGACAAGGAGGAGCGGGAGCGAACGCGGGAGGAAAAGTTCTGATTCACACTCACCACCGTCGCCCCGGCGGCGGTATCGCGGCCGGCGTGAAACATCAACCCCACCCCACGGAGATATTGCGCGCGGAGCCCGACGGCCCCACGGGCGGCCCCTTTGGTGGTTTTACCCTTCCCGCCCCCCCCCCCATCCGCCGCCGCGTTTTTCCTGAACGGCGACGATCCCGGCGATTTGCACCCGCGCCCCGGGGGTGACCCGATCGACCAGGTAGCGATCCACGACGACGGTGAGGTGGCGTGGGAGCTCGCCGGTGGGGACGTCTTCGGGCAATTCCTGCAGCTTCACCACCTGTTGATCCTCATATTCCGAGGCGGTGGGGAGGAGGACATAGGGGTTGGGCCGACATTTCCCCCCAGGCCGTCCCCCGCCGGCCGCATGGCCGCCTTGGTTTTCCAAACATTGCGGCGGCAGCTCCACCGCACGACCGCCGCCGTTGATGTACGTTTTACTCCGGCAACTCGTGCATTGGATCGCGGCGCGAACGCATCGCGGGTGCGCCGCGCTCGACTTAATGACGATCCCACTCACGCAGAGCAGTTGCGCGACGGGGGCGTGCGCGAGTTGCCTTAACAAGGTCGGCGGAACGCCCCAAAAAAGCTGCACCTGGATCGACGTCGGGCGCGCGAGGCGGGGGAACAGACGATGCTCCCGCGCCACCTCCCAAATCGCGTGCTCCATCGCCGGCAACACCCGAGTTGGGTGGTGTTGAAGGGTGTTAAAAAGCGCCCCGCTGTACTGCTGGAGGTGCGCCATTTGGAGCTCGAGAAAGAAAAGCCCGGCCGCGAGGTTTCCGCGGAGCATATCCATATAAAGGAAGCTGTTCTTGATCCGAAACTCCGCGATGAAACCTTTCGTGAGGAGGCGGATATCCGCCACTTCTTCGGAAAGAGGGTGGTCCGCGGGGTAGGCGGAGTCGCCAACCGCCTCGGGGTTACCGCCGTAGCCTTCCGTGCGCGCCCCATGGTTGTTCGTAACGTGAATAAGCCCGATATCCGATTCCATGGATAGAGTAGGGGTTTCTATTGGATGTTGTTTATAATCGACGTTAGATGCGTTATATCACTTGGAGATTCGAGCCTTTCGATAGAGTACACGTCCGCTAGTGAAGGAAAACCATATAAAGAATTCAAAGGGTCGCCAAGAAAAGAAAAGGGATAGTAATGACGAAGACATACAAAACAGGGAATGCGCAGCCCTCAACATTTTTTTAAAAGGCATGTAGTCGAACAAAAGATGCAACCCCATCTAAAAAGAAAATATCTCTCCAGATTGTTTTTAGGTGATATATTTTCGCTTTCCAGATCCCTTGTTTAAATATTCATCTATCCACGCCAGGATTCACTCACATTTTCTTTATCTACTCGAACATACAATTACAGCTTCCATTTCATGTTGACGGGTATTGTTCTGCTCCACAAAGTCACCTTTGCTGCCCTAGTAAGCTTCCAAGGCCGTCTCTAAAAGTGTCTTGTCGTAACCTTCAAAGGGGTTTTCAGGGTTAATAAACAAATAATCCCCCTCCACATATCCATTTACCTTTTGATTTAAAAGCAACGGAAGCAACCAGAGGGCGACCGCATCCGTAACACTGCGGTAGGGCAGATTGTAGAAGCTCACCATCGCCGCAACCTCCAGACGCTCGACACGGTTCTCAACTCCCTCGGAAAGCGCCCGAAGCCGTTTACACTCATTCAAGTAAAACTTCATCACCATGAGAAACTCCACACGCTCCCGTACAACCATCATCACGTTGTAGATGCCCGTTTCGACGTAGAAAACGGCGTTCTCCCGCATGGTTGCCTCCAGTTTCCTCAGATTAGCGGTTCGAACCGCTTCTACAGCGTCGACCAGCGAAGCGGGAACCTCCGTCAGCACGCCATTCCCCCCCCACTCGAAAAGCTCCGAAGAAGGGGGTTTCAACGCCTTCCCCAACGCGAGCTGCACCGCGATCAGCTTCAGCTCAAGGAGGTGGCGATTATTCGCGGGAGAATCCGGCGACGTCATCACAACCGCCTGTGCGAGAAGCTGAGCGGCCTCCTCTAAAGTCGGCCGATCCAGCGCGTTCTGAAGAAGCCGGGTGGTGTGGCTGTAGTAGAGCATGCATCGTTCCTGCCGGCGCTCCGGGAAGGAGCGATGAAAAGCCTCCATGAAGAAAAACAGCAACTGGAGAAAGTTATCGGGAAGGACTTTCGTCGGGAGCAGTTCGTATACGATGTGGGCGAAACTCAGCACGAGCTGACGATCGACCTCCCCTGCACATTGTAAAACTTTTTCGGCGTTTGGCGGGGATCCGGAATCGCCGGGGTTGGTCGAGCTGCTCAGCCTGGGGGCATCTTTGGTTACCTGCGCGACCTTACGCTGGAAGATCGAAAACAGCTTCAGCAGGTTCATTTCCATGTTAGATTGGATCCCGCCGAGGGGGGCGCTCAGGTTTTCCGAGGAGGTCTTCGCCCCCTCGCGGCGTTTTGCACCCCGGGCGTCGTTTCGGTGTTGCTGAAAGAATGCGGCCTCGTCGAAAACGCTACGAACCCGTTCCAGAACGATCGGAAGGATGGCGTAAGGCGTCCGTAGTTTGCTCTGCTGCTGGTAAAGTAAGAGGAGGTGATCGCTTATCTGATTCGCGTAGGTGCAGGCATCCACGAGAGCCAACTCTAAATGCGCCTGAATCCCTTTTCTAAAATTCAAATCCGCTTCCGAAGCGGTGGATTCGAGGCGGGAACCCCCCTTTGGATGGGGGTCGCTTTCATCCTCGCCGTTCGCGCGGACGGCGGAAAGCATCAAGTTAAGCTGACAGCCAAGGGCGTAGAACGCCACCCAGATCTCCCCTGGAGCCTCGTCCAGGGCTTCGCCGGGTTTGGGCTGTTCTTTTCGTCTTTTCCACACAATCATCAACTCGCTCACGGTACGGCTGAAACTACCGCCATGGAGGCCGAGGTGGGTGGGATCTCCCAGAAAGGCCTCCTCCAACTCTACCCGAGCCTCCTCCCGCCTTGACTCCTCCACGGCCGCGAGCTTTTCCACGAATCCGTCAAAAAGACGAGCGGCCTTGGAAAGCGACGCCGCCGCCGCCCCCCCTTCGGAGGCCGTCGCGCTTTTCGGCGCGGGCGAGGGGATCGCCGAGGGGAAGGGAGAAGCCGCCACGGGTTTGGAAAACGCGGCCGGGGTGGCGCGGAGGAAATGGGGGTTTCGCTCCGCAGGGAAGGAAAAGGCCCCGGGATCCCCTTTCGCCGGCGGCGGCGACCCGGGCGGTCGAGGCTGGCGGAAGGCAAACGCCGTGGGGTCCTCTTGGCGGATTCGGGCGCCCCCGGGATCGGCGTTTGGGAGGGTCTCCTCCAGGCGATCCCGTCGAGACCCCGGCTTGGGGGAATTATCCAGCACCCCATCCCGATTCGATGGGGCGTGGAAGCCGCGGAAAGGCGGGGGCGGATTGGGATGCGCCTCGGCGGGGTCGTCGGGGTTCCGCGCAGGGGCCCAGGCGTCTTTTCGAAACCGATGGTCCCTGCCCCCACGGCCGCCCCCGCGCGGCGGGCGCGGATTCGACGACGCGGTTTTGGAATCCCCGTGGGCGGTTTCGATCCCTCGCGGGGTGGTGTAAAGCGGGGGTTGCGGCGCGAACGCGCTGAACGGCTCCGCGCGTTTAGGCTCAACTCCAACCTCGCCGGTGTTTCGCGCGGTGGTGGGGTTAAACATCGAACCCGGGGGCTTCAAAATGGAAAAAGGCGCGGCGGTCTGCAACGGGGCGGTGGGATTAGGGGTGGGCAATACTCCACCCCCACCACGCCCTCGCTCACGGCCCCCACCAAAATTACTGTTGTCGCCGGCAAAAGACATGATAAAGTTTCCCTGATAGAAGACATCGAAACCCCCCCCAAAAAAAGATGAATTGACGGAAAGAAAAGACCGATCAGTATGGAATAGTTAGAGAGGGGAGAGGAAAAAGTAAAAAGTGATCCCTTTAAGGGCACTCTGCATTTGCTAGCACCAACGAATTTGTCCGCTCGTGCAAGTTGGGATTTCTGATGTACCTTCACCTGGAAACCTCCATCCTACACAAAAAACAAAGTAGTATGAAAAATTAACCACCCACTTTTTCCGTATTCAACAATGCACGCGTGAAGATTT